TTCTGCACAGCCAAGAATACAGTAAATAAAGTAAGCAGACAGCCCTAGAATGGGAGAGGACATTTGCAGGTTATGCTTCTGACAAAGGTTTGATAACCAGAATCCACAGAGAACTCAAACTTATTAATAAGAAAAGAACAAGTAATCCCATTTCATTGTGGGCAAGGGACTTGAACAGAAGCTTCTCTGAAGATGACAGGTGCATGGCCTATAGACACATGAAAAAATGCTCATCATCTTTAATCATCAGAGAAACGCAAATCAAAACCACTTTGAGATATCATCTAACTCCCATAAAAGTGGCTCACATAACAAAATCCCAGAACTACAGAGGTTGGCGTGGATGTGGAGAAAAGGGAACACTTCTGCACGGCTGGTGGGAGTGTAAGCTAACACATCCCTTTTGGAAAGAAGTATGGAGAATACTCAGGGATCTAAAAGTAGACCTGCAGTTTGATCCTGCAATTCCTCTAGTAGATGTGTATCCAAAAGACCAAAAATCACTTTATAACAAAGATATTTGCATCAGATTGTTCATTGCAGCTCAATTCATAATAACCAAGTCATGAAGCATCCCAAGTGCCCATCAACCCATGAATGGATTACTAAATTGTGGTATATGTATACCATGGAATATTATGAAGCCTTTAAAAAGATGGAGACTTTACCTCTTTTACGTTTACATGGATAGAGCTGGAACATATCCCACTTAGTAAAGTATCTCAAGAATGGAAGAAAAAATAACCAAGGTACTCAGTACTGTTATGAAACCAATTCACAATCACTTATACTTTCATATGAAGAATAGATCACAACTATGGCCCAAAATGAAGTGGGGGGATGGGAGGGTAGATCAGATTGAGGGAGGGTGAATGGTGGAATCACACGTATGGTACATAATGCAAGGGTACATGTCGGATCTATTAGTATAGAGTAGAAATGTCTTAACACAATAACTAAGTAAACGAAATGAGGTATATATTAACCAGTGTGATGTAAGCATTCCTAATGCTATATGAAATCAGCACATTGTACCCTATAAATGCATTAATGTATACATGATCTATGTGTTTATGATTTAATAAAAAAAAATACCTGAAGCAAAACAAAACAAACAAACAAAAAAAAACTACCATATCCAAATGCTGAGGAATAAAATAACCTTTTATAGTTCAGAAGAACTATATTTATATATGAAATTCCAGGAATAGCCCTTGCCACGCTGTCAGAGTTCACCGAGGCTCCCCGCCTCTGCTCCCGCAGTTGTGAGGGTATTTTCGCATTCTCTGGAAAAACCACAACTCATCTAGAGTCTTGACTTTGATCTCTTGACCAAAACGATGGCAAAAATCCCTTTCCAGGAATAGTCCTCACCCATATTTTGATTACTCTTTATGTATATAATCAGAATATCTTACCAATAAAGTAATCCAATACAATAACCTTAGAAATAAACAGGTTCCTGTTCTATTAAGATCACACACTAAAGATGGAAAAACTACAAGTATGGTTTTGGAACTCAATTGCCAGGCATATATAATGTCTCCTAATAATTTCACCTAGCTCCATCAAATTCCTAAAACCTTTCTGTATTTCCTTACTTAAAATATTCCTATTTTTATTTCTGGCAGAGTATAGCCTATTCACTGCCTTTTTGGCTATGAACAAAAGTAAACAAAAAGTTGCTAATGGCCGTGAATTAATTTATGGATGGGAATTGAAGTGTGAAACAAAATAAACAGGGCTACATTACGTATAATACTCCTTTCCTGCAATTTGTGAATAAAGAAATTACAAAGAAAGCAGTGAACAAGTCCTGAAAACTTGCATGGCCAAGGCCATATTTCCTTCCAGCCCCTAAGCAGGTGTCACCATTGTACACTCTTTGTAAAGATGTGGAATAAGTAAGCATGACATGTAGCCACTCCAAACATGCTGCATTCCTCAAAAATCTCAACTGGTTTCTCAGTTTTAACATCAATCTTTAATTATTTTTTTTTCCAAGAGTCAAACTTCCTTATCTAGCAGACCTAAACCTGCCTCATCTTCTCTGTCCTATTAACTTTCTTTGCTTGATTCTTTCCCATTGTACTATCATGGTTTTTCAAAAATAGATAAATTGTTTGGGACCAGGCATGTGGCTCGCACCTGTAATCCCAGCAGAGGGAGGTCAAAGTGGGTAGATCATTTGAGTTCCAGAGTTCAAGATCCATCTCTACTAAAAATAGAAAAACTAGCCAGGCACCATGGTGGATGTCTGTAGTCTCAGCTACTCGGGAGCCTGAGGCAAGAGGATTGCTTGAGCCCAGGACTGTGAGGTTGTTGTAAGCTATAATGATGCCATGGCACTCTACCCAGGGCAACTGGATCTCAAAAAAAAAAAAAAGAAAAATTATTTGAGTAATTTAAAGTCTTTACTCTTAGTCAGTGTATTTGTTTCTCAAATGTAACCAATCAGATAAAATAAGAGTGGGAAGACCAAGTGAACAACACGATCAAATTCTTAACCTTGGAGAACTAATCAAAAGCTCTTTAACAGCTTAGATGGCGATGTATATTTGAAAATAACAACCCATCAGACATCACACCTATAGATGAAGGCATATGGCTCAGGTATCATTCCAGCCATCCCTCATGGCATCTCTGTAACACAAGCATTGCCAACACAAGTTTGTCAGAACAGTTGGCCTGGATGCTCCCAAGGTTATGCAGTTGGTTAGCACCTAGGATGTCAGTCAATGTTTTCTGCTTGATTCCAAATCCAGGTCTTTCTTACCATAATGGCTTCCCTTTTGGACAAGACCCTAAGAGAACTCAGTAATCTGAAAGAAGAGCCAAATCTATTATCTTCCAGTGGGGAAAACAGAGGAACTGAATTTGGTCATAAGGAACACTGGAGAGTCAAACAGGATAGATGAGGACCTGTGACTAGTGGCACACATGGAGCCTTCTGTGGCAGGGCAACAGGAGGTTGGATGGGAGGTGGAACATGGGGAGCCTTGAAGGGGGCTCCAAGGACCACCACCACCATCACCACTGCCTCTGTCACTCAAGGAAGTGCAAGTGCACCAGTGGAGAAAGGGCTAAAAATTTATGGAGTTTCTGGGAGAAGGGAAGACTCAGTGAACACAGCTTGTTCTGAAAGATGGAGGAAGAAGGCATGGTTGGCCCAAAGCTGGCCAGGCCCTTCTCCACTTGGGGGCCCTCCTTCAGCCCTGGTGCCCCTATCCCCATCCTCTCTCCTTTTTCCACAGGCCCTGAGGCCTCACTTCTGCTGCCAAGCACACAGGGCCTGCTGCCAAGCACCCCAGGCCTACTGCTCAACCTCCCAGCCTCCTCAGCTTCACAGTGGCAAGTATTCCTCCATCGAAATGCACTTTTCCACCTGTCTCAGTATGCTGCTCTATCTGGATTTTCTCCTATCACTCTGATTATTCCTTTTCAGGGAATATCCAGGCTCTCTCCTTCTAACTGCCCCTTAAATACTGAGAACCCAGTATTACTTTTATGTATTTGGCCCTTCTCTCATCCTACTAGTACAGGGTCCCTCCGTCCTCCACTTTCATTCTATCCCCTGACTGAGCAGTACAGAGTGCCCAGACCCCTCTGTGGTTCAGCCAACTGTCTACATGGCAGGCCTGCACCCAGGCTGGGCCTTGAAAAGTCCCAGGACCTAATAAAGCTCCTTGGGTAGCTTAGGAATATCAAGAGAGCAACTATGCTGCTGAACAGGTAGACGAAGCCCTGCCCCGAGCTAAATGTCTTGAACCCTTATATAATCCCCATAATCCAACCCCCTTATTACTAACATACCCAGAAAGAACATCTCTTCTCGCTGATCCTTGAGAAGGCACATGCGGCTCATCTGTATGTAAGTTTCCCTGATGCTTTGCAATGATCACCCTGTTTTCGTTCTGAATTCTCTTCCTCAGTGTCTGGTATCGCTCTCTACCTAGTCATCCATGGAATTAAACCTAGAGTTTCTTTAGTTACTTTAAAACTATATTATTCTTAATATACCCAATTCATTTGGGAATTTATGCTTAAGAATATAGTAACTATGGAAAAGACACAGGGTAGAATTCAGGTCATGATTTTTTTCTTAAGATACATATATACACACACACACATCCTTCAAGCTCAGGACAAACCAGGGAGGGCTATTTGCTTCAAGCCAGCTGGAGTTTGATTTTGATGGCTCAATTTATATATATGATGATGTACGTGTATGTGTATACGTCAAAAATAACATGTATAAATACACATATGTACATAGGTTCACATGTATGTGTTCATGTATACATGTATATTTTTATTTTCACTCCTTTTTTTTATTAAATGATAGCTGTGTACATTAATGCAATCATGGGATACAGTGTGGTGTTTTCATATACAATTTGAAATATTTTCATCAAACTGGTTAACATAGCCTTTATGTCATTTTCTCAGTTATTGTGTTAAGACATTTATATTCTACATTTAGAAAGATTCACTTGTACCCTTGTAAAATAAACCATAGAGTTGATCCCTCCAATCACCCTCCCTCCACCCATCCACCCCCTCCCCTACATATATATTTTTAATCTGCACTTGTGTTGAGATAAAATGTTACCAGAGAATGTACAAAAATAAAACAGAGAAAAGCAGAAATTCCCTGGCTGAGGAGGCAAAAGGTGTGAAGAAAACAGGCACTCTTGTCTTCCCCATCTGATTGTAACAACTCTGGGGCACCTGACTAACAACTCAGGAACTGCAAGATGCAGACAGTACATAGAACTATAGATAGCTGCAATTCTAACTAAAAAGTTTTAAGTGTGAAACTCATATAAATTATATGTACTAAAATTTTCACGTATGACATAGCTCCAAAGTATAGAGCAATGTTCTATACTGTATTTTATAGCAATGAGGCAGTAACAAAGTAATTTAGACTGATTTGTGAAAGTCATTAATTATTAATAGTTTTTCAGGTTTTCCTTTCTATTTATCATCTTACTTACAGAGGTCAAACTGAAGTCTTCATGGATACTTCCAAACAAATCAGGGGAAGACACATCCACAGAAAGACTGAACATAGGAACAAGTAAGTGAATAGTTACAATTAAAGCACTAATATTTAAAAATATAGTGAACTATATATAAATGTGAATTTTAACTGTTTTGGTTAAAAAAAATCACATAACCTTCCATAAGTTCTTTTATTTAATAATTAACAGTTCAAATAAAACATGATGGACTAGCTATTAACATGGACCATATAAAATTTTGGGTCTTCCCAAAGTATTAAGGCTTCGATTTAGCTAAATAGAAAAGTAAATTGCTGGGCGGGGGGGGGATGTCAAATAATTCTAATTATCCTAAGTATATATCTACATAATTAAAATGATTCTGCCTATCAGAATATCCAGGGGCTAGTCCAAGCTCACTTTCAGGTGAGGTGAGTTAGGAAATTAATAACCCACAAGTAACCAGAAATGTAAAACAGGGGTGGGGGTGTGAGGGGTGTGGGCGGGCAGGATCACAACCCCACTGACTAATTTATAGATATAACAGAATCATAATAAATACTTCCACAGAATTTACTTTCTTTAAAGCTGACCAACTAATTTTAGAATTCACATGGACGACTTAAATGATGTAAATATCAAAATATTTCAAAATCTAGAGGTAAAAAAAGTATACCAACCTGAAAAACATTAAAACATAAACTAGTAATAATTAAAACAGCATCAATTGATATAAAAAATTTAGAAATACATTGCATAATTTATCAGAATTCAATGATATATGAAATAGAAATTTTAATAAAATGATAAGGAAAGACTTATTAATAATAATCAATAATATCAGGGATGTAAGAATAAAAACTTCTGGTGGAAGAGGGAGCTAAATATATGAAATCAAATCAGAGGAAATTGAGAATTAAAAGCTTACTAGGTCTCTAGAGAGGTTAACAGTTTCATACACTGAAGAGCAAAAACCAGTGACTAGACTAACATGGAAAAATTCTCAAATTGTTAATTTAAGATTTAAGAGGTATTTATTTCAGTGTTATCTGTGTCAGAGCATAAATCACAGGCACACAACAGTTATAACATGCCAATATAGTTCAGAAAAACCAGATTAAAAAAAAAAAACAACTAGATTTTACAATGCTGTCTAATAGAACATGGATGGCTACATGGATTTTTAAACATCATGAGTTAAGATTCTCTGGAGCTCAAATAACTAAGCCTGACCCAGACTTTTTTGCTTTGTTTTGTTTTGTAAGCAGGCCCAGGCTGGATTCAAACCCACCTGCCCCGGTGCATGGGGCAGGCACTCTAACCATTGAGCTACAGGTGCTAATCACAAGAGTACCAATGTGTTCCCCTAATGGCAGAATTGGTGCAACAACTCTACCACATTTTGCCTTTTATTAGCTATGTTGGAACCAGAAATCACAAGAGTACTAATGTGTTCCCCTAATGGCAGAATTGCAAACATAATCAACTAGGAGTTATATATATTTCAATTTTCCACTTGATTATTTATGAAATCTGTTGACAATTAATAAGCACATCATATGTATATGTTCAATATGCTTAGTATGACTCTAATTATGGGAAAGAATAGGTCTAATATATAAAACTGACTTTAATATAAACAACCTATTTTACTGGAAGTCTTAGGATATAAGACTGAATATCAAACTTGAATCTGTATTTTTAATTCTCCTAAATGCATTAATGAGATTTATTTCATTTTCACTTACTGTGTAGTATCTATATCTGCATCGGGCTTGGTGCTCAATTGTTCCAGACAGTGTATAAAAACCTAAATCAGAAATAATAAGTTTTAGGATTCTCAGATGAATAAACTCTCAGATATTAATCTATTTGAACACAAAAATAACTTTACATAAATTAAAGTAGATGTATATATCTCACAAGTAGTATGGCTGTGGGAGAGAGATGTATCAAGGAATATATTTCATATATATCCTGTTAATGATAGAAGTATATATCCCATCAATACATAAAAGAAAATTAAAAGCATTGATTTTTTGATAAATTATTAATTTCCTAAATACTTATTAGGCAAAAGACCTTTTTCCACTCATCCACATGCTCAACTTCATTTATATGTGTACAAAGCCCCAATCAAAAGTCTTTATACTCCAGATTATAATGTAAATGACTATCATTTACTCTGTGCTGTAATATAAATATATATAAAGTACCAAGAGAATACAAAAAAGGGAAATATAATAAAAATGAAAAGGTTGGGTACTGCTAAAATAAGTTATAATTAATTCTCCATTAAACTTTTTTTTTTTTTTTTTTGAGACAGAGCCTCAAGCTATCCCCCTGGGTAGAGTGCCATGGCATCACAGCTCACAACAACCTCCAACTCCTGGGCTCAAGCGAGTCTCTTGCCTCAGCCTCCCAAGTAGCTGAGACTACAGGCACCCGCCACAACGCCCGGCCATTTTTTTGGTTGCAGCCATCATTGTTGTTTGGCGGGCCCGGGCTGGGGATTCGAACCCGCCACCTTAGGTGTACGTGGCTGGTGCCTTAGCCACTTGAGCCACAGGCACCGAGCCCTCCATTAAACTTTATTTTGTTGCCCTATTTACCCTTGACTATTATATATACAGACATGAGGAAACAAAAATACATATTTAATATATGTATACATACCTTATAAATAGGAGGGGTTGACTAGCCATTATTTGGGGCTAGGGACTCTAACTATTGAGGGACTCTAACCATAGGGTTTGGGTATCACTGCTTGCAATTATTACCTGCATGATATTGATGCTTAGTTGGCAAACCTCCTCCTGTGTTTTGGGTTGTTGAAAGACCTGTGAGGAAAAATTTTCATTAAAAGTTTCAGACTGTGGTAGTAAAACAAAACTTTTTCTTTATGAAGTTAGATACAAATAGTTAAAATACAGAAAACTGCTTCCAGCATGGGTCTCCCTACTCTGAACGGGGATGTGAGTGAAGAGCTGGCCTACACGTGGTTTTCCTAGCTGTGGTGACTGAACTGAGAAGACTGCGAAGTAGTGGGCTGAGTGACAACATCCAGGTCAACTGTTCATTCTGTTCACAAAGTGCTATCAGTGCAAGAACTCTATCACATGTTACCTTTTATTAGCTATGTTGGAACCAGAAATCAGCACACTTATGCAGTTAAAAGAAATGAAACAAGCGAGCGATGCGGGAGAAAAGCTCCTGGGCTTCAAGGACTTAAAAATGTACAGCTGTGATTCCCTGGGAAGTTCTGAAGCAGAGGTGAAACCGAACAGAGAACTTACACTGGCCTCTCCAGGCTTGCACTCGAGAACATCCTTTAGTGACTGCAGGGAATGCACGATGCACTGTTCAAACTGACAGGGCTGAAGGAAAAAAAGGGTATCTTGAAATTAAAAAAACATGCACTGATTACTAAGATATATTTATCAGAAGTGAAGATAGCCAAAAGCTCTAAATTTTTCAAATTTATCAATCTGACAAAAAATCTTCCAGTCACTGAGTTGTTAAGTTTGTCATGCTTTGCGCCTGCTATTTAAAAATGGATAAATCTTGAAACTATTTAAAGTACATCAAATTCAACCAGAATAGAACTTAGGTCTAACTAAAAATTTCCTTCAACATTCTATTCTTGTGAGAGGCAAATGACACCATAAGTAGTAGATAGCAGATATTTTAAATGCCATTTTCAGAGATGAGTTCAAGCTCTTTGTCCGCCTCTCTGGTACTGTTCAACAAAACAAAATTTAAAAATAACAATCTGGAGGAGGTAAAAAATCTTTAAATAAGTCATTATAGTCATTTTCTATATAAAGTCAGAAAATAAAAATACAGTAGAACCTCTGTAGTTGACCATCTCCCTAAGGTGACCCAATTTTCATAGACTGGACGTGCACCACATGTACATATTAGCATAGCAGGCCTAGTTCCTTATGTCGACCACCTCAGTATGTTGGCCAGTATGTTACAGTCCCTTGTGTGGTCAACTTACAGAAGTTCTATTATGTGTCCAACCAGAGGCATTTCAAAATTAAGTGTGAATGAATTGTGATATCTTAGCTCCAAGGAGTAGTTAAGGTGTATTTTCTGCCAGGAATGACTGTAGGTAATAGAGACATAAGCGTAAGACTGACAAGAGTTCTCATTATATGTCTATTTCAGACAGGTGATGCTGTGAAAGTCATAGTCAACAAAAAAAGTTGAAAAGTATAGAAATAAAATAATTGCAACTGTACACTAAAATAAGCATCATGAATAAAACATGTAGAACTCAGAGAACAATTGTGACAGAGAAGGATCTGCTGTAAACAGGATAGTCAAAGAACCCCCCAACCCCCAGCCAGTGAGAACACTAAAGCTGATGGCTGCAGTAAGAGGACAGGAGAGGAGGGAGCAAGTCCTCATAGGACACCACACATGGCCTAGCGTGGGTAAGAAACTGCCAGGGTTGTGGGCCCTTAGAGAGGACAGGGAAGGAGGGAACGAGTCTTCATGAAGCACAGTACACACAGACCAGAGTGGGCAAGAAATTGCTGGGGCTGAAGGACCTCAGGAAGAGGAGCATGTCAAAACCACAGAGCTTGGGCAACTGGCCTCAAGAAATGGGGCACAGGGTTTGGGTTTCCTGCAACAGGCAGAGAGCCATGGAAGGTTCAATGCTCAACCTGCTATGATATATGCCAAAAAAATTGAGAACCTCTACTCAATACACACATCAAGTTTTAAAAGGTTTATGAAAAAATTCAACAGAGGAAAGGAAGCGACACATAAATATTTTGAAAAGGACATTTATTTTCTTACCAAAAGGAACCCAGACTTAATGAAAGCTAAAATACAGCAGTGCTTTGGCATTTATGTCATTTTATTACTACACTTTGAAACCACCAGAGGGCACCACAAAGAATACTTAAAAGTGGAAGTATAGAGAAAATATTAAGAAGTAAGGAATGCCGGATGAAATACTAATTGCACAGAAAGCATTTAAAGAGTCAAAACATGTTAGGTGACTAGCCTGATTAATCTGACCTACCTCTCTTAGAAAGTATGAAAATTTAATATATTGAGAATTAAATCCCAAATTCATCTATGGGTAGTTATACGTCAATGTTCATGTGTAGTTACTTATATTTCTTAAATTAAAATGTGAACTAGATTTCTTTATTAATTTTATATCTATATTAATATTAGTGGACAGAGAATACTAGAAGGCTCAATGTGTTTTAGTTATATCAGGAGTAAGTGAGGGCCTACACACGCGCTAAAAAAAGAAATAGTACTATCTCTGTGTATTGTCAGTGAATCATCCAAGTTAGCTGACTGTAAGAAGTAATCACACATCATTCCAGTTCTTCTGAAAGAAGAAAATTCTCAGAATTATCCAAATTGAAAAAAGGCAGAAACCATTTTCAACATGAGAAGAAAACAGGATGCTTTTAATGAGCTGTTTCAGAGCACTGCAGTGAAGTTCTAATTAAAGATAATACTTCAGCTGAAGAGACAGTCATAATGAGGTAGAGTGTATGTTCATTTCTTTAATGTGATAAGCAACATTTTCCTATCCTAGCCACAGGGAAAGAAAAAGTACTCTTATTTCAAGCAAAGGGGGTTGGTACTGTGGAAATATTAAGAAAATATAAATTAAGGGTATACGATAAGCTTTGATAAAATTTTTCATTGTTCAAAGTCTAAGAATTTTACACCCACAACAGATTAAAACACTAATATTCATAGCTGGACTCTAGACTTGTGCTCTAAGCATTGATTTACCTTTTGTCTTGAGATCCATGATAAGTAGCTAAAAACCTTACTCAGCATTACCAAGTCTACCAAGTCTTCTTACAGCCTATTTCCTCAATGGTATGTGTCTAGAGACTGTCTTGTCCGACTCCAGATGAGCCACTTCCTGTGGATCATTCATTCATAAGGCACAATGGGGTTTAGTTCTTTTGTCCCTGTATGTGGTTATGTAGTTTGTGTGTGAGATCAAACATGAAATTAGTTATTTTAATGTATCACAAGAATGGAGAAGGAAAAATTCAATGTACTCAATACTATTATGAAGCCAAAAGACAATCTAATACATCCCCACATAAGAGAAAAACTCAAATCAATTCAAGGTGGGGGGTGGAGGAATGAGAGAGCGGGAAAGGGTTGGAGAAGGAGGATGGGTGGCCTTCCACTTAATGGGCACAATGTTATAGGGTGTATGTCAGGTTTTATTTGTTTATTTATTTATTTATTTGCAGTTTTTGGCCAGGGCTGGGTTTGAACCCACCACCTCTGGCATATGGGGCCGGCACCCTACTCCTTTGAGCCACAGGGGCTGCCTTGAATGTATGTCAGTTAAATAAAATAAAACACAGAACCTTGACAGCAGAGATACTATTTTCTCAAATTGAACATATAATTTTTTTTCCTTTGCACAAGACCAATGTGAGCAGGCGTCATGAACCAGGCAGCAAGGTGACTCAATGGTTAATCTACCTGCATAACCATTTCATTTGGGCAAGTTATTCAAGGGGTGATAGTCCAGTGGTCCCTTCTGACTTGTCCTTCTGCTTGCTATAATGATGAGGGCAGGCTTGTATGAAAGTGCTTTGAAAATAGGAATAATGTAGGCTTAAGGTATTATCATCATAGTGGTCTCTAAGTATTAAGCAAATAAAAATCCTTTATGTCTGTTCAGCTAAAGCTTTGAAATTTACAAAGTGCTCTGGTCCATAGTGTCTCACTTAATCCTAACTCACAAAACTGTGAAGCACTATCCTGCTCCTCCTTTACAAATGAAGACAGTATGGTCATAGCAGTTATATGGCTTCTTTAGTATTGCCTAAACTATAATAGGTTGTGATCCTAAATTGAGTCCAATGCATTTTTTCCGCTGTACCAGTGCTTTCCAAAAGAAATATACTGTGAGCCACAAATATAAGCCACACTGCAGATTTTCTAGTAATCACATTAAAAAAGTGAAAAGAAATAAAGTTAACTGTAATATGATTTATTTCATGTAGCATATCCAATTATTGCTATTTCAACATGTAACCAATATAAAAGTTGAGATGTTTTGTATTCCGTCTTTTTGTGGGGCTCAGGTGGCTGCTGTACAGGGTGGTACAGGTCTGCTCCACACTTTTCTCTAACGACTGAGTGCAAGAGACAATTAGCTGTAGAACAGGTTGTACATAAATCTAGTAATTGTGACAAATAGAATAGATACAACTAATTAAAATATTTCTTAAAAAGTAAATCCTTTAAAATAGAATTATAATTGATTTATTAAAAATGATCAACTTCCCTAATTCATTTCAATAACAATTTAACTTGAAAAAAATTATCAGTAGGCACTGCTTTTCCAAACCACATTATTATATAAAGTATGGTACAACACACATATTTATATTGACTTAAGATAGGATATTGAACTTTGGAGGAATAAAATGAGTCTACAAATTCCCTGACCATCAAGGAAAGACTGTTAATGAAAAGTACAGTCAGCCTTTCATACCCACGAGTTCTGCATCCATGGATTCAACCAGTGGTGGAACCAGCTGGCTGCAGAATCTATGGATAAAGAGTGCCAACTTGAAGGACTTCACATGAAGATACCATCTTCATATTTTGGTATCATGAGTGGGTCCAAATTCCCATGGATAATAGGGGAAGACTATATGGAAATTCAAGGAAATGAAATATTATTCAAGATCCCTGCTTCAACAGGTTAACTCATCAACGGTTTGTAAATTTGGGCAAGACAAGACCATTTTATTCTACTTTCCTTATCTGAGGCAGAAACTGTTAGTTGCCTCGCCAGGACTTATTTTCTCCTTTTTTCTTACTAAGACAGAAATGGTTGAGAACAGTTGAAAAACTCCATTTTCCCAGCTTTTGTTGCTGACAAGAATGGGTATGTGAGCAAATTCTGGTCAAGTAGGTGTGGACACAGATGTGGGCTGTGGCTCCTGGGGCTGAGCTTTCTTTAGTTAGCAGTGAGGCCATGAGTGACCTAAGTCATCCTGAGCAAAGACTCAGCATGAAGGGTCAAGGGAAGAACGGGGGAGCCCTGGGCGCTGAGGGCACGATCAGGCTCTCAGACTAATGTGAGAGAAACAGAAAGGCCCTGCCTTGTTTAAGCCAGTAGGACGTTCCAGCAGCTGCTGGCAATGGGGGATCCAGGAGACAAGTGTGAAAACACGACAAATCATGAAAACTACTTTCAGAGGTATCTGAAACTTAGAAGTCCCATCTGACAAGTTAATGATTCAAGTTGCCGAATAACTTGCAATTAAGCATATTCCATTTTCTAAAAGGCAACACAGATAAAAAGTATAAGTTATATAGGATGAACAAAGGTCACTCTAAAGAAACCACTGTTTTCATTAATTTTTTAATATTTATAGCTAGCATTCAACAAAAATGATTTGACAAGAAAAACTAGGAAGCTTTTTACTTCTATTTACAGAAACTAGAGTTGCAAGGTAAGAGAGCGTATGCTCCTTATGAATATAATAAATCATTTATTTTGAATGTAATATACAATAATGACTAAGAATTCAAAAATAATTTATACTTACTAGAGAAGTCAGGCCTTCATTATCAACAATCCAGTCTTCTTTTTCAGCTAATCTCTTTATTTCTACACGGAACACAAGCACACAAGTACTTTTCATTATAACTATCTTGCTGAACTTCATAAAGATAAAAATCTATACATGTTATGGTTGTTCACTGTTTTAGACAGGCTTATAAAAACTCGATAAAAGAAAAGAATATAATTATGGTAGACTTGAGATTTTAAATATGTATTGTTTGGTGCATTTTTCCAGTAAAATATTAACGTAAACAAAATTTTTCACTGCACAGCCTAATTTGGAGAATTGTTCAATATTCTTGATAATATTAGACATGTACGAAATAAGCAATATTTTTTCCCTAAAATTTCTGATGAATTTTGGAATTTTTGATTAGACATGTATGAAATAAGCCATATAATACTTTTCCCCTAAAATTTTTGATGAATGATTTGGATTCTGGATGAATCCTATATGTTCCTGACAATGGCAGTGTGATTCTCACCTGGCTATGGAAGTGCCACCTGCCCAAACTTTCAGCACTGGGGCTTGGCTCAGGTTCCCAGTGGGAAGGTGATGAATTCAGAGAGGAATGTTCAGTTTCTCACCGGGATTCCACTCTCTTTCCATTTACACAGTATATTAGCCATGAATTCTGTAACTTCCCTACCTAAAAAGCCTCAAAGCAGATACTAATGGCTTATATCATTTATAACAGTGTTCCTATTTTAAAAATATTAAATACCCCAAAGGCTGCTTTGAAAGATAAACTTTATTGCTTTTTATAATTTTATGTAGAAAATACTGAAAATTTTTAAAAAAGTATAAAGAAAACAAGACTCATATGTAATTATAGGATCCAGAGGACAATTGTTAACAATATTTTGTATGTATGCTGATTTTTCTACTAAATTTTAAAAACAGTAGAACCTCTTTAAATTGACCACCCAAGGAACTATAACAAACTAGTCAATATATGGAGGTGGTCAACATAAGGAACTAGGCCTACTATACTGGTACATACATGTGATGGATGTCCGGTCTATGAAAATTAGGTCAATTAAGGGAGGGGGGAATGGGTGGAGGGAGGGAGTTTGGAGGGATTACTTCTGAGGTTTACCTTATAGGGGTACAGGTGAATCTTTCTAAGAGTAGAATGTGAATGTTTTA